ATGACACGCCACATGGGTGGCACACACACGCACACACTCGCCTGGCCGTGTCCACGGGGCTGCGCCCGACGCGTGCTCGCGGGTCGGGTCTGGCGGTGGATCCCCGAGTGGCGGGCTGTCTCCTGGTCTGTGAGCTGCGCCTGGCCGTGGATGAGGCCGTCAGGCACCGCCCCCGAGAATGACACGAAGTGCCAGGTCGCCCCCTTCTCCCACCCCATCCTTTTATCAGGGGCAACGATAGGGGGGGATAGGCATAGGGGGGGATGCATCGACCCGCAATCGCCCATTGATCGCCGATAGGGGCCCGATAGGCCCAACCTGCCCAGGGAGGTGCAAACTCACCATCGGGCGCCTATCGCCGATCGATCGGCGATGTATCGCCGATTCCAGGTCGATGCATCCCCCCCTGCCCACCGCCCCCTATCGTTGCCCCTCCTGTCACTGCTGGCAGAGCCCTTCTGCACCTCGGCTGCCCCGACACGCCAGTGTCGAGGCGCAGCGCGCACCGTGCTCGACACGCGCCGCGCCCGTGGCACGCCCGTGTCTTGGCGAGCGCAGCGCGCCAGGCCTTTGCTTCCAGTGCACGCGGTGGGCTCCGTGTCCATGCGCTGTGGCTTGCTGCGTCTCGGGGCAGCGAGGTTCTGCTTTCTCGCCGCGGGATGATCCCCCACGCAGGCCTCCCACTGCCGGGTGGCAGGCGGTGCCCCTCCCCCCGCCCGCGGGCGCACATGCGCCGCGGGCCGCGCCGGCGGCGCGGGTGCCTCTGCAGAGGGCTGTCGGCTCCGCGGCGGCGATGATCCCAGGCATCCAGCGTAGAGGAATCAGCAAGTTCATTGGACAAAATAGATAACTATACACATGTGTATAAATATATATAGTTATCCGTTTACATGTGCATATGTACATTCATCGATGTTTCGAACATTTGTATATATACATATATATATATGCATCCACTGACATAAATGACACATGTATGTATCTGTACATATACAAACATACATATATACACTTATATTGCTACATATGCATCTACATCTACATATACATGTACATGCAACTATATTTATGTATATGTATATCGAATTCCTCCTCTCAACCTCCGCAGGCAAGCTTGGGGCCCCAGGGCCACCAACGAACGGCACAGGATGGAGAGGGCATCCAGCCCATTCAAAGCTTTGCGCGGCGAACTCTCAAAAGGCCTCATTCAACACGAGTGAGCATGTGGAGGCGTATGCTGTTCCGTGTGAAAGAAGTAATCGGGTTGGGAATTTATCGGTTGCACGCGTGATGGGGCGTGTATGAGGCGACACCACAGGTGAGGAAACGAGGCGATGACCGAATGACGCCAGCGACACCTACTCATTGCACGCCTGATGGGACGTGTATGGGGTGAGACTATATGGTGAGGAAACAGAGGGGCCACAGACGCCTACGAAATTTTTACATTGCACGCATGATGGGGCACGTACGAGGCGACACCGAAGATATAATAATATGGGGGATGACAGGAAGACGATAGCGAGGATGAGGAGGAAGAGGTGGAAGGATTTCAGAAATTCATGGCGTGTAGCATGGGGATGGGCCGGCAAATGTTCAAGGCGTGGAGGGTGATGAAGAATGAAATCAGATCGGTGACCGCAGTGGGTTCTTTGTGTGTCAGACCGCCCATGCAGCAGTGATCCTAGGCTGAGGCGTGCAGCCGACATCGTGGCCCGCGATGCGCGGGCACTGAAAGCTAACAGCCGCGCATGTGCCCCTGTCTGTGCATGAGGCGCAGACATAATACATAGACACTTTTATTCTTAGACGCACATGTGTATTCGTGTATGAATAGACATAAATAACCATAGATAGATATGTGAGCCCGCTGGGAAAAGAATTGGCGGCTTGTCCGCTTAGTCCTGAGGAGCCTGGCCAGGCCGAGCCTTCGCGCCAGCGTCTCGGCCACCGCCGTGCGCCTGTCAGAGTGGGCGCTAAACGCTCGCAGGTGCGCTGCCAGTTCAGCGGACCGCCCTGGGGAGACTAAGCTTAGGCCTGGGCCACGGGTCACGAGCAGGTTGTCTACCCTCGTCACCCTGGATACCATGACGTCCAGGTCCAGTCAGAGGCCTTCAGTGTCGCCGGCGTCCTGGCGAACAATGCTGCTTTCCTTTCGTCCATGATCCGACCTCTTGCGTGAGAGCGCGGCCCCCCCGCTTGACTGCTTCCCCGCGGACGTCGAGCCAGCTCGGCAAAATGACGATATTTGCACACTTGGCGGGAAGCGGGGTGTCGTCTTCTTTCGCGTGTCACCGAGTACCGCTGAACCCCCTGGAGCCCACGCAGATGGCGGTAGTTGCGCGGCCGGCAGCATCCGTTGGGGGCGGGAGGCTTCGCCCGGGCAGGAGCGGCACAGCACCCCGCAAGACCTCGAGGAGGTCATTCAAAGTCCGAACGGCTGCGCAGTTCGCAGCCTCCAGAGAAGGCGAGGTCTCGTATGAGTTTGTCTCAGGACCGCATTTTGCTGTGCCCCCGGGGGCTCACCAAAGTGGTTGGCAGTGGCGCAGCTCGCAGCACTCGGGGCTACCGCACCCAGCCAGGTGTCGTTCAGACAGCACCCCGCTGGACCTCCCCGAACCTCACTTTGCTGGATGGCAACAGGGTAGTTGGCAGCTCTCCGCGAGGTGTCGCTGGGCTCTCCTCAGAGCTTACTTCGCTGGACCTTTCCGGGTGTTCGCGAGCCGACACATGCGCAGTTGGCAGCACACCGGGAGGGCGAAGTCTCCTTTGGCCCTCCATCGGACCGCATCCAACTCGCAGGGGCAACGAAATGTCGTTGAGATCCCCAGACCGCACGCTGCTCAGCCTCCCAAGGTCCAAGAAATCTGGCGCGAAGGGAGGGCGACGCGTGCAGAGGAAGCGAGGAGGCTGCTGAGGGCCAGGGTGGAGGCCCCGGAAACTGCGAGGAGAAGGGGAGGAGGCGGGAGGGAACAGGAAGAAGGGAGGGGAGAGGAGGATGGATCCACTTCGCATGCTCTACTCCAAATCCCTTATCAATCGTCCCCTGGGTCCGGTTTTTTAAGGATCCTTTTTATGAACTGGGGGTGTACTGTTTTTATTTGGGCGCTTTCTTTGGATTGGAGCTTAGGGGGTCCGGTTTTAAGGCGCCCCGTCGAAGAGGGGGATCTGGAAAATTAGGTCGCATTTGGAGTGGTTTGGTGTTCTAGGGGGGGTCGATTAATAAGGGATTCGGAGTATTCAGGGCGAGTCCCCAACCAAATAAGGGTCGAGAGTCGAGACAAACACACATATGCCGCCGGATGGTTATGATCCAGCGGAGGGCGCGCAGGGAGAGGTGGAGGCTCGCCTTTCTGAAGAGAGCGTTCCTCCGCATTCGGCGTCATCCCAGCAGACTACTACTGTGTGTGCGTCGCCCCCCAGATGCGACCCGAGCACCGAGAAATCTCACTGTATACGCGTCGTGGCGGTCGCTTTCTGGCGGCACACCGCTCGGGAAACGATACGCTCCAAGATGGGTGTACAAAGTGTTCGGGTCGGACGCGCACCTCCAAGGAGGACATATGGTATTAGTACGTCTCTGTGCGTCCCAAGCATTGCGATTGGCCCATCCTTCTTTGCATCCGTCTCCTCACCGTTCCATTATCTGTCCTTGCTGCCGTTCCTCCCCCGCGCTTTCCTCCTGCGCCCCTTCCTCTTCCTCGCCCTCTCCTCTGTCACTCCTCCCTCATCTGCTCCCTTCCGCACGTTCCCCTCCCGCACCTCCCCCCTTCTTCAAGGGAAGAAAAAACACACCTGGACCCTATAATCTGCGTTTGCTAAACGGCCCTTGGCGTTTCCTAAACAGCCTTGCCTTGTTCGATTCCTTCTGTGGGTGCGTTTCCTACACGGCTTCGCGGGTGGGAGCAATTGTTATGAGTGTTGATGTTTTGTTCTCTACTTTGCCCAGCACTCGCTCGTCTGACTCCCCCCGCCTCTTGCGCAGAGCACGCTGTGCCCAGTGGGCGCTGCGCCGACGATGCTACAGCATCGCCACCCCTGTCACCCTGGGCCTGCCAGGTGGGGTCCAAGCAGATGGGGTCGGTGGATCGCGCCACATCGGCGATGCCTCGGCGATGTGACTCGATGCGGAGCCCGATGCTCTCCACGTCCACTCCGCCGATGCGCCGCCGACGTCGACGACGCCTCGACGATACATCGCCGGAGATTCGAGGATGCATCGGCTCTGCAGCGCGATCCATCGACCCCATTTGCGGTCGAACCGAGGTGTTAGAACGAGGTCGATTCGTGAAGGGTATTCCAGTGTTCTTCGTGTTTGTTGGATGCTCTTGGGCATCCTGTGGAGGCTCAGTTGTTCTGTGTGTTTTGGCCGGGGGGGGTCTCATGTTCTTGAGTGATGCTCTTCTGGCCTAGGTCCGGCTGCACTCGGCCCTCATCTGGGAGGCCTCTAGCCACTCGCCATCCCTCCAGGCGTGCGCCGTGGCCCCCCCCCCAGCGCGACGACGACGACAACGACGACGAAGAGCCGACGGCGAGCGCGACGACGCCGACGACAAAGAGCCGACGGCGAGCGCGGCCAGCTCGACGACGGCGAACACGACGAGCCTCGGCGAGCGCGACGACGACGAAGATCGACTAGACATAAGAGTGACCTTTCGCCAGAGTTACATGTTGGTGTGGGCCCAATGGGGCCCCCCGTCCGCTGAGCGAGAAGCGGTGGCAGCGGCTTGCGCGCCCGTGTTTGGCCACCCCGCGTCCCTCGTTAAGCTGCGCACCAAAGGTCACTCCTGCCTGGGGTCACTCTCGCGTGTAGTCGAGAAGACGACGGCGCATCTGGGCGAATCCCGTTTAATCTGGGCAAATCCCACTTAGTCCTGTCTAATCCGGCTTAACCACGCTTAGTTTGCGACCTAATCTGGCGTGACAGCTTCCCGATGGGGCTCCATCCTCCTCAACTCTTCCGCCGACGACCTCCCAGTAGTTGCCCCCGAAAGGTCCGTAGCCATTGTGGCTCAAGCTGCAGACCGCGGCCCGGACGCCATGTTCGGCGGGCCGGAGGGCACACTGGCGGCGGCGACGCCTTCAAGGAGGAGCTCCCGCCTGGCCGCCTGGCGCTCCACAGCTGCCTTGGGGCCGCCGGGTTGCCAGCGGTCCCCGCGGCGCCGACGGCGCAGATGCCTTTCGACCAGCTGTGGTGCTCGACCCCGTGCTGTTCCGACGGCGCGCAGCAGGAGCAGAAGGCCGGCGTCTGCCAGGCGCACGGCCAGCAGGAGGCCGTCGTCGGCGGCGCACGGCGAGCAGGAGGCCGTCGTCTGCCCGGCCGAGCCCACGCTGGCGAGCCCGCGCCCGCGCCGGAAGGACCTGCACGGCTGCGAGCTCGTGGAGAGGCCAGAGACAGAGGTGCGCCTTGGCACGAGGTGCGCCGGCCAGTGGAAGGGCGACGTCGTGCACGGCCAGGGACGGATGGCCAAGAGCGACGGCGGAGTCTGCGAGGGTTCGTTCGTGAACGGCTCCGCCCACGGCCACGGCGCGTTCACCTCCAAGCAGGGCTGCGCCTTCGTGGGCCAGTGGAGCAACGACAGCGCCCACGAGCTTGGCAGGTGCACCCTCAAGGACGGCGCCTACTACGAGGGCAACTGGGCATTCGGCTTGTAGCACGGCAGCGGCAGGGATGTGCGGGCGGGCGGGTCCCAGTACGATGACGAGTTCCGCACGGGCAACAAGCACGGCGTCGGCGTCTAGAGGCCGAAGCCCGTCGAGCCCATCCGCGAGCAATACACACTGGGCACACCGCTGGGGTCGAGCACCGCGGGCAGTTCGTGGACGATAAGATGCACGGCGACGGCGTCTGCGCGCGCATGGACGGCAGGAAGTGCCGCGGGCAGTGGCTGGGCGGCCACATGCACGGCAGGGGCACCATGGAGTGGCCCGACGGGTCCAGGTACGACGGCGACCACCTTTCGGACGAGAAGCACGGCGAGGGCACCCTCACCTGGTCGGATGGATGGGCCTACCGCGGCCAATGGCGCCACGGCACGCCTGACGGCGAAGGGGTCAACATCGACGCCGAAGGCGTGGAGACTCTGGCCAAGCATGCCACGGTGGCAAAATGAGCCGCAAAGGGTCCGAAAGCCTTCAGGTGTTTAGGCTGGCGCTCTCGCCGACGCCTTTGCGTGTTTGAGACCAGGGTGTTGCCACCCTGGCTCCTCCTCTCCCTCCTCCTCCTCCTCCTCCTCCTCCTCCCCCTTCTTCCCCCCTTCCTCCTCCTCCTCCTCCTCCTCCACCACCTCCTCCTCCTCCACCTCCTCCTCCTCCTCCTCCTCCTCCTCCTCCTCCTCCTCCCCCTCCTCCTCCCTCTTCCCCTCCCCCTATATCAAGCGCGTGAGCTCCTACTCGAAGAAGCGGCTGCGCAAAGTCAGGGCCATCAGGTGCAGGACACTGCGCCCGCACGCTCCGTGCCGTGGGCGGGGAAGACGAAAGAACAAGTGGTCGCCTCACTCTCGCGACGGCGAGGACTGGCGACGAGCGCTCCCTCTCGACGAGCCGCGCGCGCGGCATGGCTCCTCCTCCTCCGACTCCTCCCCCTCCCCCTTCTCCTCCCCCTCCTCCCCTCATAGTCCTCCTTCTCCTCCCTGTCCTCCTCCTCCTCCTCCTCAATTTCCTCCTCCTCCTCCTCCTCCTCCTCATATTCCTCCTCCTCCTCCTCCTCCTTCTCCCCTCCTCCCCTCCCCCTCCTCCTCCTCCTCCTCCTCCTCCTCATATTCCTCCTCCTCCTCCTCCTCCTTCTCCCCCCCTCCTCCCCTCCTCCTCCTCCTCCTCCTCCTCCTCCTCCTCCCTCCTCCTCCTCCTCCTCCTCTTATTTCCTCCTCCTCCTCCTCATATTCCTCCTCCTCATATTCCCCCGTCTTCTCCTCATATTCCTCCTCCCCCTCCTCCTCCCCCTCCCGCCCCCTCCTCCGGAGCAGGAGCCGGTGTGCGCCGGCGGCCACGGCGAGGGCCCAGGCCGGCGCCTCCCGCGCTGTGCGCCGTGCGTGCGCGCCGGGGCCTCGGCCGCCCGCCCGCGGTGCTGCTGCTTCTGGTGGCCGTCGCTCGGCGGCTCCGCCCCCCCCCCCCGCCTGGGGTGCTTCGTGCTCCCCGCACGTCGTCGCTTCGCTCTCGCTCGCTCGTTTCCTGCTTCTCTCTCTCTCTCTCTCTCTCTCTCTCTCTCTCTCGCTTCGTCTGGCTGTCTCGCCCGTGTGTGTGTGTGTGTGTCTCTCTCTCTCTCTCTTTATTTCTCTCGTTCTCTCTCTCTCTCTCTATATATATATATATATATATATATATATATATATATATATCTCTTTGTCTCTCTATGTCTCGTATCGTCTCGCTCGTTATTTCCTTGTTTCCCGCTTGTTGTTGTTTGTTTGTGATATGTCTCTCTCTCTCTCTAGTTCTCTCTTTTTCTCCCCCTCCCTCTCTTTCTTGTTGTGTCGTGTTGATGTCTCTCTCTCTCTCTTTCTCTCTTGTTTCTGTCTCTGTCTCTGTCTCTCTCTCTCTCTCTCTCCCTCTATTTTTGTTTCTCTCTTTTTTTATATGCATTGCCGAAGAGAAAGAAGCAGACGAAAATGGGTCAGCACTAAGAGGGGAGACTGCCCGAGACGAACCAGGCCCCCTTTCTCCACGCGAGGTGAACATGTGTATGAACGCTCCATACACAAGAACACATCTCCAGATGTGATAATGCACGATCTGCGTTGCCCTCACCTCCGCCATGCCTCTCAGGAGCCTGCGAAAGTGATTGCACAGTTCGCAGCCCCCGAGGGAGCCGCGAGATCTCAAATGGATCTGCGCTGCCCTTACGTCCGCCGTGCCTCCCAGGAGTCCACGAAAGTGGCGGCAGTTGCGCAATTCGCAGCCCCCCAGTAGAACAGGCCGGAGAAAGGGTAGCAAGGAGGCCGGAGGAGGGGTGATGATGGTGAGCAGGAGGGAGACAAGTCAGCAGCGCTCTATTTGAAACGAGAACCCAACACAGGACAGTCTGATAATCTATTACCCAGGGACGTTCCAAACCCTTCGAAACCATTTGGCGGCTACACACAGGACCGCTCACCACAAACGAACTGGCGGAAATACCTACAATGTGCAGGAGCAACGACAAACCCCCCAAAGCAGAAGCAGAACTACGCTTTAAGGCAAACGCTCGAAAAGTGAAAACATAAGGGCGCGGCAGCCTGCAGCGAGAGCAACGGTAAGCAGAGCAAGGCAACGCAATCGATCACAAGCAATCCAAGCAGCCCATGAAAGTGGCGACAGTTGCGCACTTCGAAGCCCCGATGTCTCGACTGGCGTACAACGCCAATCCCCTGGAACCTCCGAGGAGCTCACGAAAGTGGTAACCGTTGCGCACATCGTCCCCCATAGAAGGCGAGGTCTCGATTGGGTGTGCGTACAACTCCACTCTGCTGGACCTCCCAGGAGCCCACGAAAGTGGCAACAGTTGCGCAGTTCGCACCACTCCAGGAGCGCCGCGAGGTCTCGACTCGGTGTGCGTACAAATCCGCTCCGCTGGGCCTCCCAGGAGCCCACGCAAGTGGCGACAGTTGCGCAATTCGCAGCCTCCCAGGGGTGCCGCGAGGTCTCGACAGGGTGTACGTACAACTCCACTCCGCTGGACCTCTCAGGAGTTGTTCGCAGCTCCCCCAGGGAGCCGCGAGGTCTCGGCTGGGTGTGCGTGTCCCCCCACTCCGCTGGGCCTCCCAGGAGCCCGCAAGAGCTGGAGACAGGAGGAGGAAGGAGCATCGCGCAAGCAGTGCTCCATTCAGCCCCCCAGGCAGCGCAAGCAGGAGAAAGGAGAGACCGGAGGAGGGCAAGGAGGAGAAGGGGGAAAAGAGAGCGCACGGAGGAGGGGGGTGGACGAGAATGATTTTGAAACCGCAGTGCTCGATTCAAAACGAGAACCCAGCACGTGAGAGTTGGGAGACAAATCTTGATGTTTACGTAGAAGACGAGTACGAATTAAAATCTTCTTGGACGTACGTCTTCGAAGCTCCGCGAAGGTTTTTTCGATTCTTTACAGTCGAGCCCCCGGGGCGCGGAGCGCGCCAAGGACGGCGCCTGCCAGGGTGGGTCCACCGCCGATCCAGGAAATTTGTGTTCGGAGGTTGATAGACCTCCTACCCTGACACGTCGATTAGCGAATTGGCCGTTTTCGGTTCGCGAGAGGGCGTCGCGGCCGTCAGTTTGCGGGTCCAGGTCCGCCGTTTTCGGCCCTAGGTCGTTGTCACTAAAAGGTTTACTAAAGGGAGGTTTGTCCACCGCCGAGTAATCTGTGTGGACCTCCGACAAAGTATGTGCAATAGTCATTCTGTTTATCTGATAATGCTGGTCCCTGCTATTGCTGTTGCATGCTCTCACCCCTCTGCCCGTAAACATATTGGCTGAGGGGGCCCCCTTCTGCCTACGCTACCAGCTAGCATAACTTATCATTTGCAGCGAGAAGGTCTTGGAATAAAAGATTCACGCATATTGTCAGCACCTGCGTGTGCGTTGCATTGGTAGCGGAGCGTGTATTCCGAGCTCCCTCGCAGGGAGAACCCTTTCGGCATCAGACAGTTTCTTCCCGGACACTCCCGTGCAGTCGGACAGATCCCGACGGATATTACATCTCGCACGATGGCTGACCGGAGGCCTGCTGCTGCCGCTGGTTCTCGCGGTGCCGCCGCACCGAAGAAGTACGGAGATCGTCGATACAGGGGCAAGCACCCTCGAGATGGAGCCGCGGCAGCGGCTATGCCCGACGATGAGACCTACGAAGAGGAATGGGCCGACGAGTGGGCTGGAGAGGACTGGGCCGAGGACGACGACGAGGAGTCGGAGATTCCACCGAGCTCGGCGGAGTTTCGACGCACCCGCGGTGATCGCAAGAAGTGGCGCGGAGGACCGTGCCCAGCCCCACCTCCACTCGAGGCCCGGTTTCAGAATATATACAAGCAGCCGAGATACTACCAGAAGTGGGTTAGGAAAGTCCACATGTGGAAGGCCAGGGCGCGACACTACAAGCCGATGGCCGAGCTGGCCCTGGACCTTTCGGACGTCATCACGGGCGAGGGCGCAGAGATGATCGAGTCCTTGGAATGGACCCGTTTGTATTCACAAGATGGTATTGATTTGGTGATCAACTCACTCGCCGTGTTTGACGAGCAGCAGATCCTACAGGTTGGAGACCTCATGGAAGAGTACGAAGAAGTGGAGCGTCTGCCCGGTGAGCTGCTGGCCGCGTACGTCGCGCATTTCAAGGATCTCGAGATGCGGCTCAAGCGGGCAGAGCTTCCAGCTCAGCAAGGACAATTTCGTGCATTCAAGTTGTTGCGAAGTTCATGTTTATCGCCGGAGGTTCGGCGCAACCTCCTCCTCGCCACGGGCAATGAGTATGACTTCGACCGCCTCGTTCTGGCTATGAGTGTGCAGTGGCCGTCCACCGCCCCGAACTGGGTCGCTCCAGTACGACGGATGGCACGCAAGCGACTCGGTGAGGCGGCCGCTCCTGAACGCAGGTCGGCTGGTCGAGATCACGACAAAGGAGGCGGCAAAGGACGAGATCGACAGCCACCGAGTCGAGCTCCTCGACCGCCGCCGAAGCCGCCCCACGTCAGCGAGGCCGACATTATTCCCGAGGACGAGGCTGAGGAAAACGAAGATGAAGATGACCCCGATCAAGCAGAAGTAAATGAGGCTTACGCCGAGGAGGTTGACGGTATCCAGGTCATGCAGGAGGTGGCGGACGCTTTGACCGTCACCAGCGACAAGTTGAAGAAGCTGACCTTGGGCCGCGGGTGGACCGGAAGGTCCTCACCGCCGAAGCCTGGAGACCGACGCCCGCCACCGCGGTCAGCGCCCTCCGGGGGTGCCGCCGCCCCTGCGGGCCGGCCGTCCCCAGCGCCGCCCGGCAGGCCGCCGCAGACATCGTCAGCACCGCCACAGAGAGGCACTGCGACGCCGCCGGCCGGCACGTCTTTTTCAGGAAGCATCTGTGGAACATTTACGGGAGACCGATCCGGAGATTCAAGAGCACCGGCGGCATCTCAGAGGCCAGGGTTTCGCCAGACGTCTTCGAGGACCGGCTACAAGGATAAACGCGATCGAGCTCGCGCCGTTCATGATGCCTCGATCGATCAGGACGAACCCGCCGATGAAGACGATGAGGAGTACGCCGCCGATGCGGTAGAGCACGAGGCCTTAGTCACGCACCTCTCGCCCGACGAGCTG